GGGGGGCGGGGTGTGGCGGAGGGGCGTGGTCTCGGAGGAGCAGCCGACCGGAGAGGCTGGACGGGGCTGGGTAAGAACCGGGGCCAAACCCGCGGCCGCCCCACAGCCACAGACCGCCGGGCTAGGGAGGGACAGGTGCGGGTGGACGATGGACAGCAAAACTCAAGAATTGCCGGTTTGCACCTGCTGATGTTGCACTTTGTAAAACGTATCCCAGCAGAGCTGACCCACGAGGAACTGGCTGCGAGGACGTGGCCTCAAGATCAGTGAGGGCTCAGAGACCTGGGTGGCTCAGTGATTGAGCTTCTGCCTTCCGCTCAGGTCGTGATCCCAGATCCTGGGATCCAGTCCCCCATCCGGCTCCCCGCAGGAACCCTGCTTCTCCCTCTGCCTCGGTCTCTGTGTCTCTTATGAATAAATAAATAGAATCTAAAAACAAAAATCAATGACGGCTGGAGCGAGAAAACCCTCACTGCCCTGTGTGTGAATTCCAGGCCGGGAGCTGAGGAGATCACCTATAGGGAGAGCACATTGCACGCAGAGAAGGCAGCCTGAGACGGAAGCCAGGGCACATCCAACTTTTCAGGGGAGAGTAGAGGAGGACGATGTAAGCAAGGAGGAAGAGGAACTGTCCACCCAAAGGGGTTAGAACCTGCTGTCTGTCACAGAAGCCACTGGGGAAGTGTTTCCAGCAGGAGGACCTGCACAGCCAACGGAGAGGTCAGGAAGGTCAGGGCCAACAGGTGACCCAGGGAGTTGGCCCCAAGAAAGTCACACGTGGCCTTGGCCACATGCTGCTTCAGTGGGGTGATGGAGACAAGGCCACACTGGAATACATTGGGAAAGAGTGATGGGGAGACTGGGAGCAGCAGACGGAGAGGAGAGGGGTCAGTGGCTGCATGGGGATGTGATTAGACGAAGGGCCACTCCTGTGCTTTCTTACAATGGGAGGTGTTGCAGGTAGAGGTGAACAAATGAGAGAGGACGGTGATTCCTGGGAGGAGAGCCCGGGGTCCAGCTCACAGAAGCTGCCGGAACTGCTCTTCAGAAGTAGGGATCCCACCCTCCGTCCCAGCAGGACAAAGAGAGGACAGGCCAGGTGGGATCTGCCTAGCTTGGTAACCACAAAGGCAGGAAGTTAGGGAGCTCCTGAAGGATGCTTGGTGCATCTCGAGCAGTGAGGTCTGGAAGGCTCTTCCGCATCTGCCACAGAGGACCAAGCCAAGAGCCCTGGATTCAGTGTCCCCCTTCCACCTACCTGGGAGCTCACATCCCCCTCTCAGTCCTGCTGGACGATGCCTGGCAAGTCGCCACCTTCCTGTTCTCTGCCCACTTCTTCCCAAGCGGCAGAGAGACTCAGTCCTGACAGGCCCCAGGGTCATCCGGGAACTCACTGGCAACCGAAGTGGCCTTGCCCCTGTCTGTCTGCCTCCAGGCCCCCTCCGCATTGTAGCCCTGATTGTCGCCGTGGGCCTCACCTGGATCGTGGTCAGCATCCTCCTGGGTGGACCTGGCAGTGGCTTTCCTCGCATCCAGCAACTCTTCATCAGTGAGTGTGGGACACTTCCTTGCTCTGCTGTGGAGGCCACCAGGGTGGGCACTGCAGGTCTTTGGTCAGAGGCTCAGAGTGCGGTAGGGGTGGCCTGGGTTTTCTGTCTCCTGGCAGGCCACGTCTAGCTGCCCCCAGTCTGCCTCCTGGCACCCGGCCTGGTCTTCCCCCTCCCACCCTGTTGCATCAGCTGGGAACTCCCATCCCTGCTAAATAGGACTCTGTGCCTTGTTGGAGTCCGAGTCTGAGTGACGGACAGGGGGGTCCTGCTGAGCTTTAGGGACGGCGACATCCCAGCTGTTCCCTGCAGGCCTCGGTGGACTCTGTTAATAGCACTTTGGCCAAGTACTGTTGACAGTTGCACTTGACCGTTTTCCTGGAGCAGGGACTTGCATCTGGCTTAGGCCCTGGGCCCTGGGCCTGACGGGCTCTCCACATTTACTTCATGGTATGGGGCCAGCCCCTGGAAGCCTCCACCCTAACACAAACAACTCTCTTCCCACAGGCCCAGACAACTCAGCGACCCCAGGTAAGGCCCCTGCCACTCCCCCGCCCCGCCCCATACCCAGCCCTCACACCGCCCCTGCTCTCCATTCGTCCCTCCCCACACTGGCCATCACAGCACACTGGAGCTGCTGGCATGCTGTGAACCTAGAAAACTAGTTACCTGCTGTCAGGATACACTGATGAGACAAGTGTAGGATAGACATTCCCTGGGAGGAATGAAGGGGTCACCAGTCCCCGCCAGTCTGAAACCCAGCAGGACCAATGCCATCAGGATTCAGGGCCCGAGAAGAATCATCTGGGCCCGTGCTGTCCCTTGCCCTCTGCAGCCACTGTTCTGCCCTCAGAGCACTCCTTGCTTCTTTCTGTCCTGTTTCTGTCCCTGTCGGCCCACGATGGCAGCGTTTCCGCTGGTATAAAATCCTCAAAAACCTTGTTGTTGTGTTGTGCGATTCATGAGGCGCTCAGCCGTAAGACAGGAGGGCCCTGCAGGTCTCTCCTGGACGCTCCCGCTCGATGCCCGGCCCTCCAACCACAGCCTTGCTCTTCTATCCAGAGCCTGCTTTCTCGCGTTTCGCACTAGCGCTAGACCGAGTATTTTCCAAGTGTTCACATTCTGGTTCCTCTGTGCTTGGCAATTCTGTTTTCAACGGCTCTTCCTGGGAGCAAGCGGGAGAAACCAGGCTGTGCCCTCAACGCTGCGTGGGGAGGCGTCATCACCTAAATATCCAAGTTCCGCACTTACAAGTCCCGTTCTACACAGAACGTTGGAATAGGATGTGGCCGAGTCGTTGGCCCCCTTCTGACAAGGCCCGCCTTGTCCATCCGTATTGTGCCCACAGTCCCGTGAGGCAGTCTTGGCCTGGCCTAGCTGCCCCTTGGAATCCTGCAGCCATTTCCCACGTGGGGGACCTGTAATGGCAGCAGCCCCCAACACCTGCGGTGAAGATCTGTCTCCGTTTCCTGGGGCAGCTGGGATAACCTACCACACACTGGATGGATTAAACACCACACATTTCTTGTCTCCGGAATGTTCGGGAAGCTGGAAGCCTGAAATCTAGCTGTTGGAGGGTCACAGCCCCTCTGCAGGCTCCAGAGGAGGGTCCTTCCTGCCTCTTCGGGCTTCCGGGGGCCCCGGGGGATACTTGGCTCGTGGCTGCATCCCTCCCGTCTGCGCCTCTGTCTGCGCTCAGTGCTCTCTGTCTCGGTGTCTTCTTTTCTACCTCTTATAAGGACCCTTGTCATTGGATTTCGGGCCACCCTGATCCAGGATGAGCTCATTTAACAAATCATATCTTCAGTGACTCTTTTTCCAAACAGGGTTATATGCGTAGGTGCTAGAATTAGGACCTCAACACATGTTTCGTGGGTCACAGTCCAACCTGTGACGGAGGCCACCCTCCTCCTGCCCTGCCACCTCTGCCTGTGGAGGTCAGGTGCTCTCCTCGTCACCGCATTCCTGCGGTCGCCCTCCCAGCTGCTCCCTTCCCCACCTCTGCTCTGTTCCTGCCAGGGCCACAGCCAAGGCCAGCCTTCCTACCTCTTGTCTCCCGCCAGTGGCAGAAAAGCCCCCCTGAGGTCCTGTCGCCTTGCCCTGAGGCCAGCCCCAGGAGGATGCGGTGTCGGTGGAAGTATCCCTGTTCTGTGGCCACTCTTACCCCCTGTGGGCCGGTCCTGACCTCCCCCCTCTCAGATCTCAGGTGGCCCGGGGCCAGGCCCATGGGTCACCCCTGCTGTCCCTGCCCAGAGCCACGAGCCCGGAAGTACAAATGCGGCCTGCCCCAGCCATGTCCCGAGGAGCACCTGGCCTTCCGCATGGTCAGTGGAGCTGCCAATGTCATCGGACCAAAGATCTGCCTCGAAGATAGGATGTGAGCTCTGTGGGCTGGACGGGGGATGCCGGGGCGGCGGGAACCAGAAGCTGGATCTGTGAGGGAGAGTGGAGCGAATGTGCCATCTGAGGGCCCTGCCTCCCGCTTCCCGCTCCCCCCGCTAGGCTCATGAGCAGTGTCAAGGACAACGTGGGCCGGGGACTGAACATCGCCCTCGTGAATGGTGAGTCCCTGTGACGTGGGATCAAGGTTCAGAGCACAGAAGCAGAGCTGGGCCGTGACCTGCCACCCTGCCCCCGCCCCGTGCTCTCCCCGTGAGCAGGTGTCTGGATATTTGCCTTGGTCTTCCCCCGCCTCCCTGCTGGGAATGCCAGGGAGGCCTGGGAAACAGTCTGTGCCAGCAGAAGCTTCCCCAGAAGAAGTGACCCAAGAAACAAAAAAGCACAGTATCCCTAAAGAACCAGAAGCTTCCAAGAGGTTGGAGGTGCTTCCTAGGGAGCCCCTGGAGAGCCTCAAATGGCACACGGAACCGGCACAGCCTTGGGTGGGCTGCAGCTGTCCGAAGAAGGGGGCACAGTGGGCATGAATATGGAGGCGTGTCTGAAAAGCTTCCAGAAGGTCTGCACCAGTGGCCACCGCTGTGTCCTTAGCTTCACCTCAGGGGGCTGAGGTGGTAGGGTAGAGCTGCCCTGGCGGCTCGCCCAGCAGGACCCCTCTCTCCCTCTCAACCCAGGGGTCAGCGGTGAGCTCATCGAGGCCCGGGCCTTCGACATGTGGGCAGGAGGTGAGTGGCCGCCATGGCCTCCTGCTTTTTGCCTGTGCAGCAGAATGACTGAAGTGCCGCCCTCTGTCCATTCACTGTGGCTTGAGCACTTGCCTGGGTTTGGGAAAGGCAGGGAGAGGGACAGGCGTGTGGTCAGAGGGATGGCCCTGGCCTCTTACACCAGTTGGTCCCTTCACTTACTTGGTGACCCTTGGTGGGTGTGTCCCTGGCCCGATCCCTGCTTTAGTTTCCTTGTTTGGAGAACGGGTTGGTGGGGAAGGGGTGCTCTGTGGTGCCTGACGCTCCATGTTCCGTGGGACCCGTCGCCCCAGATGTCAACGATCTGCTGAAGTTTATCCGGCCACTGCATGAAGGCACCCTGGTGTTTGTGGCATCCTATGACGACCCGGCCACCAAGTAAGTGACTGCTAAGGCCAGCCTCAGCCTCACCCTCCCACGGCGACTGCTTCTATCTCTTCCTTCTGTGTGGCAGGATGAACGAAGAGACCAGGAAGCTTTTCAGCGATCTGGGCAGCAAGAACGTGAAGGATCTGGCCTTCCGGGACAGCTGGGTGTTTGTGGGGGCCAAGGGCGTGCAGAACAAGAGCCCCTTTGAGCAGGTATGGGTGCAGAGCCTGGCACCCCCACTTCCCAGCCCAGACCAGTAACTCGGACCCCTCCAGGGTCTGTAAATGGCAGAGCTTTCACGGTGGCAAGACTCACAATTAAGAAAGCTTTCTCCCACACACCCTCAAGACGCTCGGTCCTGTCCCCGCTCCCTGCCACCCAGTGCCCCGATTCACACTGCACTTCCTTGTCTCACCAGCCCCTGCTGCCCTCTCGTCCACTGCTCCTCCAGAGCCACACTTGTTCAAGCCCCATTTGAGGGGCTGGGGAGCCCCAGGCACCATCCTTATGCTTGGGAGCCTCCTAGCCTGGTGACAGCCACGCTGCCCCCTCAGCCCCACCCCCCACAGCAGAACCAGGCAAATAGGCTGTTACAGTGCTTTCTGGAAGGCGTTTTTTGTGCTCTGTCACAAAAGCGCAACTCAGCACCCTGAGAATACATGCTCCCTCTGGCTTGGTTCTCCCTGAAGCTTCTAGCGCTCCCTGAGGGCCAAGTAGGGCAGGAACGTACGCGGTCCCTCCTTACCTTCCCGGTGTGTGCCGTGCTCACACTCCACCCGTGAGGGACACAGGCCTGTGCGGCAATTGCCGTTGTGTGGATGAGAAAACTGGGTGCTGGGGCAGACAGGGTGAGTGCCCCGGGCCTGCAGGCTTGCGTGACAGCAGCGCAAGGGCACTGACAGTTCTGTCCGTCCCTTACACCGAGGGCTGAGGCCCTGACTTCCGCTCCCCAAACCCCACAGCACGTGAAGAACAGTAAGCACACCAATAAGTATGAAGGATGGCCCGAGGCGCTGGAGATGGGAGGCTGCATCCCGAGGAGGACCGTGGCCGGCTAGCAGGCCGAGCGCGAGGACCAGGCTGAGGGAGGCTGCGTGTGCCAGGGCCAGTGCACGGCTGAGGCCTGAGCCCACGCCCAGCCGGGAGCACCGTCCTGCTCCACCACATCGGGGCTTCGAGGCAGTGACCGGGGACCAAGTGTGACAGGTGCTGAGGGCTGCAGGGGCCAGCCCCGGCTCACTTTGCCAGGGGAAGCCGGGTACCCATCTCCTTTGTCCAAAGCTGCTTCCCCGGGGGGAGCCCTAACCTGATCCCCAAGCCCCCGCAGCCACGCACGAGGGCCCGGGGTGCTCGCCCGCCTCGCTGCACAGACGTGGTAGCGGCTCTGCGGCAGGTTGGGACGTCTTCCAGAATCTCTCCATCCCAGAGCCACCCGCTGCTCTTTGGGCTGATCCTGTTTCCAGTGTGATTCCTTCCGATGCGCCACACCCGGTGGCCGCGTCGGGAAGCCGGCCGGCTGCCTGGCTCCTGCCTGCTCCTGCCCGGCTCCGCACGGGAGGGGCCTCGGCGCCAGCAGCGAGCCTCATCACCATCCTTAGCGCAGCAGACGACGGTTCCTGCAGTTTGCCGGGGGGCCCGCCTTCTAGATGACCTCTTAATAAATGAGTGGCCCCAGTGGAGTCAAGTGCGTTCAGTGGGGAGTGGGGTGGCGTTGTCCTGGCGGGGCGGGACATTTCCTGGAGGCTTGGCGGACCTGCTCCCACAGCCATCGTTTGCAGGGCTCCTGCCATGGATGGGCACGGGGACACTCCCCAGCTGGCATTCCCACGGCCTTGCCCGGGAGAGAGGCCTTTGCCCTCCAGGGATGCAGGAGACCCACCAACTCCCTCAGACACCTCCAAGGCCGGCGGAGACAGGGGTGAGGATTCCCACCCACCCGGGTGCTCCCCCGCTCCCCACAGCCTCCCCCAAGAGCTCGGGGGTCTACCTGCAACACTTGGCTTCCGACGCCTTAGAGATCAGGAGATCAGGGCTTCCAAGCTCAAGTGATACGAGCTTCTTGGCATTTCTTGAAGATTCTGGCTGTTTCCCTTCATGAAGTGGGAAGCAGCAAGAAACCAGTGCTGCAGGAGAGGCACATCCAGGGGCAGAGGGCCGGCCTGCGGTCAGAAAAAGGAGGCAGGCCACTTGGAAGTCCCTCGATGTGGGGAGTCCAGTGCTGCCAGCGTGTGAACGAAGTGTCAAGAAAGGAGAGTATCGAGGGGGGAAGCCGAGGAGGAGTGAGGGGCCCAGGGCCAGGCTGGGAGGAGAGGCTGCAGGCATGACGCCGGGCCCCCAAAGGTCAGGGACGCGGAGGCACGAGGAAGGCCGAGGTGCTTGCCCAGGAGCTGGTGGCCGTAGAGGTCAGGTCCCAGCCTCACCCCGACCCAAGGGCTTTATGCACATTCATTACCTATAGACTTTCTTAGAACAGTTTTAGGTTCACGGAAAGTTGAGCAGAAAGTAGAGAGGTCCCCAGCCTACACCGACACATTGTCATCACCCAGACTTGAGTTGATATTCGAGTCCCCTCCTGGTATTACGCAGTCTGTGGGTTTGACAAACGGTTAATGACATGTGTCTACGACTGCGGAATCCTACGTGTATTCCCTTTTAAACCTTTTATTATAGAACATTTCGAATGTCCCCCGAAGTTACAACAGTACCTACTGGGCCACAGTGACCACCATGTGGCCGCTGTTCCATCTGCACCCCCCACAGCACCTCTCACCTTAATGCTGCCACTGTCATTCCCGTCACACGTTCCCTCCCCTGGCCTCAGGATGACCCTAGCAGGAAAGGCCTCTCCCCATCCCCATTTATGGGACAGATCAAAGTCCCTGGCAGGTTCGAAAGAATTTCCCTGGGACCGGAAGGTTAGAAGCCAGTAAGTGGGGTTCCCCAAGGTTGGTAGCCTGTCCCCCGTGAAACAGAACCTCACTGAAAGTCCACACTGTGAGGCTGGGAGGTGGGGGCTCCACTGTCCTCTCACACTACTGCTACCATCGCCCGCCCGGCCTTCCCCAAACCTCCACCACGGGCCGGCTCTGGACTGGGTTACATACTGGGAGCGAAAGAGGGAGCCCCACTGACGGTCCCTAACTCCTCGGGGGGCTGTGCCCTCACCGGGAGTCGCCACAGTCACACACATGGAAACAGCAAGCCAGCTCTATGGTCCACTTGGCCCAAGCCGGGCTAGGAAGCCGGTGGTGGTGTGGCCCGCGGGCTGCCCGACCTTCCCAAGCAAGTAAAGCTTTGTCCTGCGTCCCCGTCCACCAGGGAGGTGCCCCTACCCCCACCCCACCACACATACACACGCCCTCTACGAGTTCTGTCACCTTTGGTCATGGGTGCCAGGATCCCAACTCCAACTGACTTAAGCAAAAATAAGTAATGACAGAGGAGGGGGCCCTCAGTGTTCCCATAGGGGGCCCCAATGCCCCCCGGTGAGTCTAGCCCCAGTTACGTTATCAGGACATGGGCTCTCTCCATTTCTTGGCTCTACTTTTGCCTGTATTCACTTCATTTTCTAGCATGCTGTCTCCTCCACGGAGGGGGAGCAATAATTCAGCGAAGAAAGAGCCCCCACCTTCGCGACAGTCCTCGTACAGGGCCCTGGGAACGGAGTCTCGTTGGTCCAAGTGCATCTGGGCCGATCCTTGTATCGGCGTGGCTGGCTCTGACTGGCTACCCCAGGCGTGTGCCCACCCCGAGGCCTGTGTGGGGTGATCCACAGGCAAAGCTTGTGTACTAAGTGTGGAGGAGGGTCGGTTCCTGCCACCAAAATTGAGGTGCTGTCACCTGATGCTGGGCAGGCCAAAATGACAGTTGTCACTCCTTCTCAGTCAATACCCAATGCGTGCCATACTTACCCCCATATAGAATGTGCCCTCCGTGTGCCGATTATCACGTAGAACTCCTGGAGACCAGGAGGTCAGCGTATGTCCCAGGGTCACCACTGTGTCCCTATTCCGTGGTGCAGTGGCAGGTCGGCCTTCTGAAGTGTGTCTCTGTTCAGGCTGTCACCATCATCTGTTCTCTATGTTCCCTCTGTCAAGATGACTTTTCTTCTGGAAGTGGGCATCCTTGACTGATTTGTAGAGCCCTTCCTCCTCCTCCTCTGGGGTAAATGATTAGTCCCCTAAACCAACTAGGAACATTCTCTTCCCTTTAATTTTCACCATCCTTTTTTTTTTTCCTGAAGGGGCCCCCGAATTCCTGCATGCCAGACACCTCAGCAGCCCAGTGTGGCTCTTCCGGGAGGGCAGAGGCGATTGGCAGTAACAGGGAGCAGCCTCCTAAGCACATTTGTTCCCTTTGACCCCTGGCACCAGTTTCCATTTAGCTGATTACAACAGAAGTTTGTCCAGGGCCAATTCTTTAGGGTTGCCTTTCCGAGCTCTTCCGGGTGACCCATTCCCCTCTCCACGTGGCCGCTAGTAGCTGGTCCTCACGCAGCCACACCCGCACTGCTCTTTTGCAAACGGCACTGTTCCTTGCTGCGCTGTGTCCAACGCAGGCCTCTCGCCCGTGCCAGGCTGCTTCCGACCCCCCCAATGTCATTTGGCGGGGGTAGTAAGGGGGATGTTCTGAGACCCAGAGTCCACACACACTGATGGCTTATGCCTTACCTGCCCTCTGAGGCTACAGAAGAGCCTAGAACTAGGGCCTTGACTGTGTTTCATCACCGACATCAATCAGCGTCTTGCACATACTCCCCCGCTGCGTGTCTGTGTGCTTATGTATGACATGCACGTATTCCTGTGAACTTCATAAAACAATTTTTTTAAGATTTTATTTATTTATTCATGAGAGAGAGAGAGAGAGAGAGAGGCAGAGACCCAGGCAGAGGGAGAAGCAGGCTCCATGCACCGGAAGCCCGACTGCAGGACTCGATCCTGGGACTCCAGGATCATGCCCAGGGCTGAAGGCGGGTGCTGAACCGCTGAGCCACCCAGGGATCCCCCATAAAACAATTCTTTAAGCAAAATATATCTAAGGTTCATCTAATAGGCTTTTATTAGTTATTATGTGTCTGAAAAGTGAAGTACGCTGCACGTGCTAATTTGTTTCATTTTCGGTCGCAGGGAGGCGTCTTCAGCCCCTCCCCGCGGGCCAGTGCCTGTGACTCAGGAGCACGAGTCACCGTCGTCGCAGCCGGGACAAGGTTTTGCCGAGCAGCGGGCGGCCACCGTCCTCGCGGTCACAATGCGGGCACCTGCCCTGCGGCCGAATGGTCGGGACGGCATGCCCGACCCCTTACACTGAGCCGTCGCTTATTGTCTCCCGGTGTCCCGTCCACACCCCCAGCGCCTGTGTGCACAGCTCGTGCCATCTGTTCGCATCCCTTTCCGGGAGGCCTGCACCCGGTGCGAGCGGCGCAAGTTGGGAAAGGCGGACACGCCCACCCGTGACCCTCGGTCAAGGCTGGAGCGAAGCAACGTGGACCGAGGCGGAGCCCGAGCCCGGGCCGCACCGTCCCGCGGCCGCAGAGCGCACACGACCGGCGCCGCGCCCCGGAAAGCCCCGCCGGGCCCCCCCGCCCGACCCGGAAGGCATCGAGCTCCGGGTCCCCGACGCTTCGCTCCCGCAGCCGTCACATCCGCTCGGGACCGGCCCCCGCGGCGAGAGGTGAGGCGGCTCCCGCGGGGGCGGGCCTAGGCGGGGCGGGGCCTCGGCGGGGCGGGGCCTCGGCGGGGCGGGGCCTCGGCGGGGCGGGGCGGGGCGGGACCCCGGGGCGGGGCGAGGCCCCGGCGGCCCAGCTCGCAGGCGTCCGCCGGCCGGGCAGGCGCTGGCCGCGGCGCCGAGCTCCCGGGCCTAGGCGGTAGGTGAGAGCGTGGGGCCGGAAAGGGCGGGCGGAAGGCGGCCTCCGGCCCCGGCCCGGAGCCGTGCTCGCCTGCCCGGGCGGCGGGGCCCGGCCGGGGACGGGCGCGGCCGCGGGGCCTGGGAGTGCCGTGAGGGCCCCGAGCGCGATCCGGGGACCTCGGGGGCCGCCCGCCCGCCCGCCGACCGCAGGACGGCAGCACGAGCCCGGCGGCGGCGGTGCGGCGCTCCCTCCTCGGTTCGCGCCCCGGCCCCGTGCCCAGCCCGGCAACTTCCGGACTCCCGGGCGGGCAGGAGCCCCGGGGCCGGCATGCCCGCTGCCCTAACCGCGAACGCGCGGCCGCGGTGCCGAAAGCGGCCGGCCCAGGGTTCCCTCCCTTGCCTGGGGGTGGACCGGCTCAGACTCTTCCAGCCCCCGAAGCAGACCCGGTGTGGGATCTGGGCCAGAACCCTCTGGCAGTGACTCAAAGCCGCCAGCCGTACTGCAAGGACAGGGTGGACGGCCCCTAGCCTCCTCTCCCTTCTGAACTGGTTCTCACCACCCCACCCCGGCGGCTTCAGGCCCGGCTGCTGTCATCTTTTCCCTGTGACTCCCCTCCGCTTTGCTTCTCATACTCCCTCTGGTTTTCCTGCCTCCCTCTTCAGCGGTGGGATGCAAAGCTGGACCAAGGCCTCCCGGGTAAGTGACCCGAACCCCAAACCAGCAGAGGCCACGGCATGCGGGTGTGGGAGACCTTTCCCAGGGCTGAGCTTTTGGCTTAACCTGCCCTCCACCCCCTACTTCCCCTGCCCTCCAGTCTCACGTGAGGTGGACAGGACCAAAGACTGATAGGATCCGGAGAGACAAGGGCCTCCTCCAGCACTGGGACACTGCAGACAAGCACTGTGCGGCAGCCAACAGTGGCGATGACAAACCGCTGTGTCCCGGTCCTGGTGGCCCCAGGCCCAGCACCTGATGGAGGCTGCCCAGACTGACAAGTGGAAGCAGACGAACCTCTGAGGCACCCTCCCCACACCACAAACACTCATGGTCCCACCGGAAGTTCTGGACTCTGCTAGAGCCACATGTGAGCATGGGGAGGAGCCCCTGGACCCCAAGCAGAGCCTCTCACATGTGACACAGTGCTTCTAGAAGCTCACATTCCAGGGGCTGCCAGGGGAGGCAGAGCTCGGACAGGAGGAAGGAAAGCACGCAGCAAACACATGGTCCCATCTGAACCCCCCTCCCACTTCCCCTTCCAGCAGTTTCCCTGGGGAGAGAGGACCTGCTCCCCACCCAGGACCCCTACCTCACACTGTCAGCAGGCGGGTGAGGCCAGGTACCCACAGCAGCACGATTCACCACTGCACAGCAGTGCTACAGGTCAGCCCCCGAGCCTCCGGCCAGATGGTTACCCGCTGCCCACACTACCTTGCCAGCTGCCTTCTGCCTGGCCGAGGACACACAAACGCCCTGCTGGCCTCTCACAGCAGGCCCAAGCCAGGGTGTCAGCGGCCTTCAGCACCCAGCTCTCAGCAGGCTTGTCTCCTTGCCATTCCCATGCAGCCTTTCAGAGATGTCATCATGCCTGCAGTGTCACCGTGGCCCCTCTGTGTCCTTCCCATGGAGCCCGTGGGGGGCAGGCTAGTGGTGACAGGACTGGAAAGATTAATCTCCTCAATCTCTCGGTATCAGAACACTGGTGCCTGTTGGCTATGCCAGAAAAGGACAGGGAGAGGGGCAGGTGCCAGTGGCCTGACCCGGAGATCCGGTCTGCCCGCGGCCCCTCCGGGTCAGGGATGGGAAACGAGGCGGATGTGCTGGGATAGGGGACAGCCAAATGGCTCTCAAGGGCCAGCACTAGGCATTGCCCTTCTGTTCCCGGCTTCGGGGCGAGCGGCTCTGCTGGGAGGCCAACGGGCTCTGCTGGGGCTCCCAGCCATGGGCTTGCAGATCCCATTGCTCCTGCATTCAACAGGTGCTCACCCTTACCAGCCACTTTTCTGTGTCCCTTCTCTCCTCAGGAAGAGCTCTGCCATCTGGGAACACAGCCCAGGGCCAGGCCCAGCCCATGGACCCTTCTCTGGGCAACCGGACGGCACCAGCGGGGCTGCTCTCCTGAGCCACAGAGGGCCTGGACACACGGTCTTCTGGGAGGAGCCATGGTGTTCAGGAGGGGCAGGGGCAGCTGTTGGTGGTGGCCTGGACTGGGAGTCAGGGGAGGTTGCCCAGGCCCCCTAGGCCTGCTCAGGGCTTCCTTGCTGCTTGTCAGCCTGCCTTTGGGGGCACGGGGAACAGCCAGTGCCAACCTCAGCACAACTGTGAGTCAGACGGTGCCACTGCCAGGGGGCCGATACTTGAGCATTGGGGACGGCTCTGTGCTGGAGTTTGAGTTCCCAGAGGAGAGCGAGGGCATCATCGTGATCTCCAGCCAGTACCCGGGCCAGGGCAACAGGACAGGGCCCAGGCCGGTGCTGAAGGTCACCTCCTTGGACACAGAGGTGCTGACCATCAAGAACGTGAGTGCCATAACCTGGGGCGGTGGGGGCGGCTTTGTGGTGAGCATCCACTCAGGCCTGCCTGGGCTAGCCCCACTCCACATCCAGCTCATGGACCCCCGTGAGACCCCGCCCATGCTAATTGAGGAACGGAGAGATTTCTGCATCAAGGTGTCACCTGCCGAAGACACCCCCACCGCCCTCGGCACCGACATGGTCCACTTCTCGGAGAACCCAATACTCTACTTGCTCCTGCCTCTTATCTTTGTCAACAAGTGTTCATTTGGGTGCAAAGTAGAACTCGAGGTTCTGAAGGGGCTCCTGCAGAGCCCCCAGCCTATGCTGCTGGGCCTCCTGGGCCAGTTCCTGGTCATGCCCTTCTATGCTTTCCTGATGGCCAAGGTCTTCATGCTGCCCAAGGCCCTGGCTCTAGGCCTCATCATCACCTGCTCGTCGCCCGGCGGCGGGGGGAGCTACCTCTTCAGCCTCCTACTTGGAGGGGACGTCACCCTGGCCATCTCCATGACTTTCATCTCAACAGTGGCTGCCACCGGCTTCCTGCCGTTGTCCTCCGCCATCTACAGCCATCTGCTCAGCATCCATGAAACCCTCCACGTGCCCATCTCCAAGATCCTGGGGACCCTGTTGTTCATTGCTATCCCCATAGCAGCAGGCGTGGTGATCAAGTCCAAGCTCCCCAAGTTCTCCCAGTTGCTGCTGCAGGTCATCAAGCCCTTCAGCTTTGTGCTTCTCCTGGGTGGCCTCTTCCTGGCCTACCGCATGGGGGTCTTCATCCTGGCTGGCGTCAGGCTGCCCATTGTACTGGTGGGCCTCACAGTGCCCCTGGTTGGCCTCCTGGTGGGCTACTGTCTGGCCACCTGTCTGAAGCTGCCAGTGGCCCAGCGGCGGACGGTGAGCATTGAGGTAGGGGTGCAGAACAGCCTGCTGGCCTTGGCCATGCTGCAGTTGTCCCTCCGGCGCCTTCAAGCAGACTACGCCTCCCAGGCCCCCTTCATTGTAGCACTGAGCGGCACCTCGGAGATGCTGGCCTTGGTGATTGGCCACTTCATCTACAGCAGCCTGTGCTCAGTCCCCTGAGGCCACTGGGTCGAGCTTTCACCACCCCTCGCCCCCCAGCCTCCAGCCACTGTCCCCACAGTTCTTGTGTACCAAAGGCCTTCAGCTCTCATGCACTATGCACTCAGACGAAACGAAAAAATCCAGGCTTATTTTTTTTACTCGTTTTTTATTCTCCAGCTTTCAGTGCCAAAGAGGCCATGCTGAGTTAGGTAGGTGGGCACTGCTCAGAAAATATATTTCAATAAAAGAGAGAAGCAAGCTGTGGTGCCTTGCAGTCTTTGCCCTCTGGGGCCTGGGGGTGGGGTGGGAAGGCGCGGGCCGGCTGGAGGACTGGGGTGCAGGACTGGCAACCTCTGCACCACAGTGTCTCAGCCCCCCTCCCCATGCATCCGCTGTCCTGCCGTTCTAGAATGGGCGTGGGACGAGGAGGGCAGGGGCCGGGCGGCTCCGTCGATCCCGCGGGGGCAGTGAGCGGGCTTGGCTTGGCGGGGCCGGGCCATCATGCGGACTCCCGAGCGACCGAGGCAGGGCCGCCCCCACCTGGCCCACAGCCCGCTGGGGCGACCGTGCTGCGGGCCCGCCGCCCGGAACCGACCTGGCCCGGCTCGCTCCCCGCCCCTCCCGCGGCGGGCGGCCCCGGGCGGCCCCGGGCGTCGGCGACGCGGGCTCCAAGGTGACTCCTCCACGGCAGCCGGGCGGGGCCGGGGGCGGGGCCTGGGCGGGGCCTGGGCGGGGCGGGGGCGGGCCCGAGGGAGGGGCGGGGCCGGGCGCGCCCCTCGCGCTGCTTCCGGCGGCGGCGGGCGGTTCCGGCGCGCGCCCGGGGCGGCGGCGCGCAGCGGGGGGCGGTTGGGGTGCGCGCCCGCCGCAGTGGACGCCATGCAGCTGACAGTGAAAGCGCTCCAGGGCCGCGAGTGCAGCCTGCAGGTAGCGTCGCCGGGCCCCCGCCGCCCCGCCGGCCTGCGCACTCCCCACCGGCGGGCGCGGGGCCGGGCCGGGCCGGGCCGGGCCGGGGAGGGGGAGGCCGGGAGAGCCGCCCTCGCGGGGGGGGCCGCGGACTCAACCCCCGCCTCGTACCCTCGGCCCGGCCAGGTGTCGGAGGACGAGCCCGTGTCCACGCTGAAGCACCTGGTCTCCGAGAAACTCAACGTCCCCGTGCGCCAGCAGCGGCTGCTGTTCAAGGGCAAGGCCCTGGCAGGTACCCGGGAAGCGGAGCCGCCCAGGGAGCCCCGCAGCTTTTCGGGGGACGGGGTGCCTGGGCCGGGTGATGGATGGGGCGCTGGCCGCTCCGCCCTCGGGGCGCTGACCGAAGCCTCCGCGGACGGCCGCCGCAGACCCCGCCGCGGGGAAGCCTCCATCAGTCTTTCTTTGGCAGATGGGAAAAGACTCTCGGATTACAGCGTGGGGCCCAATTCCAAGCTGAACCTGGTGGTCAAACCTCTGGAGAAGGTGTTACTGGAAGAAAGCGCTGCCCGCAGACTCGCCGAGGCGCCGCCTCCAGCCGCCCCAGCCTGGCAGCTGGTCTCCAAAGTCTTGGCCCGCCACTTCAGCGCGGCGGATGCCAGCAGAGTCCTCGACCAGCTACAGAGGGTGAGAAGGGTAGCCGGGGGCATCCCCGCCCAGCCGCGCCCATCCCCTGCCTCCGGCAGAGTGCACCCCCAGCTGCACCCCCCTGAGTCCTTCTGGCCTTCTGTCCGCAGGATTATGAGAGGTCCCTGAATCGCCTGACGCTGGATGACATCGAACGCTTGGCGAGCCGCTTTCTGCACCCTGAAGTGACTGAAGCTATGGAGAAGGGGTTCTCCAAATAAGATCCTCACAGCGTGGGGAGGAGCCTGGCCAGGCTGCAAGCTGCATGTAGCATTAAATGTGTTCTCTTGTTGCAATTTGACTCAATAATAATAATAATAATAATAATAATGGCAGGTACCTGGTTACCCATACCTGGTTCTTGCTAGGTGCCAGGTACAGCTCAGAGCACTTGACGTGGGTTTCCTCCCATGCCTCCCGCAAAAGCTTAGACAACGAGGCACCCAGCAGTGAGGTCGAGGAGCCAGCATCTGAGTGCAGTCAGCTTCTAGAAATGCCTCAGGGTGCAAAGGAAAAAGGGGGCTGTTTGGTCGGGTTCCAAGGGACGGCCTTTGGCATATCATGTTTAGCGCACTGAGAATCAGCCCTCCAGCACCTCCTCTTCAGGCCTGAAAGGGGAAGCAGCTGGGCCCTGCTGCCCAGTCCTGTCACCCGACCTCTGACAGGTTTGGCATTGGTGGGATGCCAAGTGACAGCCAAACCCTGGGCCCCCTCTCCCGGCTGCTGCGGCCAGTGTGCACTTGACAAGGCAAAGCAGGTTGGGGGGTCAGGGACCTCTGCAGTATGACCTTAGGCAATTCCTGGTGCCACGTTGGCCCCTGGTTCACTCTGCACAGTGGGGACCGCTCGTGAAACCTCCCATTTCCTTCATCCTTACCCAGCCCGGGTGACAAGTCTGCAGCACCCGTCCCCTGTGATCCATAAGCACACAGGCCAAAACCCGATGAATGGCCAAGCAAGCATGGCCCAGAGGGCGATTCCTGGCCCTTCGTGTCACAGCTCTTTGGGTACTCCGTCTGCTTGTGTCCCTCTGGGCGTGGGCATTTCTCACCTCTTAGGGATGACAGGTGACTGAGTCGAGGTCGCTCAGCCTTGGCCGGGCCCCCACACCCTGCGTTCACCCACAGTGTGGAAGTGGGCCCTTCCCCTGCCACATGGATACCGGCCTTTCACGCCGCACACCCTTCACAGCCTGAGAGGAGGCGTCAGAGTGCTGGGCCGGGGGGCATGGGCTGCCGCACCGATCCTCAAACCTCGCCTGGCGCGTGGGCACTAGAGGTCATCTAGGCGCCTACTCCCTGGCGGGGGACACCTCGGGCTGCCCTCCCGCCTGGGCCTCGCGGGCAGAAGACTGTGAACAGGGGAACGCAGTGCCCGGCCCCCGCGCCCGGGAGCTGATGTGTCTGCCAATGTACGTGACGCTCGCCCGTGCGCTCATTTTCAGTCCAGAGAATTTTTGTTGCTCCAATTCTGAATCCCACTGAAGGTGAATGTGAGACTGACTCTGATCCAAACGGAACTCTGTTAGCCAGGCAGCTTTCGGTTTCCGATAGTTGGTCGAACCATGAAAGACATTGGTTTAAACAATAAACATTGGTTTACAAAACTGAGAAGTCCCGGGGTCTTGGCAGCAGAAGGACCATTTCACCAAGTACCAGTCTCTTCCTACCTCCCGTCGCGCTCGGAAGTGTCCCCTCCGTCCCGGGCCGCTGCCTCAGGATCAAAAGATGGCTCTTTGCAGTTTCCCTGGTTCACAGCCAGCAAGGTTAGGCCTCCCGTCCTGCAGTGTGGCTCCTTCCTCTGATGCCCCAGCAAATAACCGCTGGCCTCTTACTGGTCGGAATCCGCTCATGCTCCAGTCACTTTGGCCAGGGCTGCGGTGGGTGGTGGGCCGGAGGGAGGGAGAGGGCGATTCTCTGCAAAAGCCAGGACTCAGTGGCGACCCCAGGCAGCAACCGTTAGCTGCAGGGGAGTGACACAGATGGGCATCCGACAGGCCCTAGACACGGTCGTCGAGTCCCTTGTGCCAGCGCCTTCTGGCCCACGACTGACAAGAACCCTCTGGTGATGAGGAGCCATCCACGGGCCACTTGGACGTGGAGGTCAGGATGGACGTGGAGACAGGAGTGAGGTGTTCAGGGTGTGCTGGGAGCCTGATTGGGAGAGCTGACTGGGCCCCCGGCCCGGCCAGTTCCAGAGCACTGTGCAGCGTCTACAGTGACCATCAGGACTTAGGTGGGCACGGGATGTCCCAGAATCTCTGAAGGCGGATGAGGTGGCCTCCCCGAGAGTGCAGGAAAGAGAAGAGAGGACTGGGCCTAGAGGCAGTTTGCCTGCTGGGGACACGGTAGAAGGCAAGGAGCTTCCTGACACTAGGCCACAGGGGGAGCCCCGGATGGGAAGCCAAGAGCACCCTTCCAGAAGGGGGCCGGTGTCTGGTACTGCCAAGAGGCGTTGGTAACAAGAAGGTCGTTGCTGATGTCGCGGAGCAAGAGGTGGCGGGAGGGTGGCGAGGGGAGGAGGTGGTGACAGTGACCCGGGACCGCGTTCTGGAAGCTTGTCTGCGCAGAGGCCGGTAGCTGTGGCTGGGCAGGACGGGAAGGCTGGAGAGGGGTGCGGTGCTGTGGGGCTGGGAGTGGGAGGCGCGGGGGCAGGGGGGCTGTGCTGTCAGGAGAGGAGCCGGGGAGTCCTGCTGAACCCCTGCGAAGCACCTGCAGGCTCCGCTGCGTCCGCCCAGGAGGAGGGAAGCGGCCGCCCGCTGGGCTTTGTACCCTGGCCACTGCCTGCCCCCAGGTCGGGGCGCGGTGGGGGCGCCGGTGTCGTCCTGCGGTGACACCAGGGGAGCACAGGAGCCCTGAGGTGCCCAGCTCGAGGGGCCTCTCAGACAGAAATGCTCTGGCACTGGGCTCCGATGCCTGTGGGGCCCTTTCCCACGGGGCACACAGGACTAGGGGCAGATTCAGGACGGCGGCCTTTGCTCTGGGGTGGGGCTCGCGGAGTTGGAGGTACCCCAGCAACTGGGCGGTCCCCACAATTTGCTGGCGCCTTCAGGCCTCCTGCGCAGGCCTGGCTAAAGCCCTGGGCCTCGCCAGCTCTGATAGGTCCAACAGGGGTGCAGCTCAGCTGGGCCGGGCGCTCTTGGGACTAGATCTGACCCTGTGGCCAGCCCCAGACCTCCGGGCCCCGACAGCCAGCCTTGCCCACCTCCCGGCTCCCGGGGAGCCGCCCTGTCTGCACGCCCCTTCGGGGTTCAGTCCTCCTCTGCTCCTTTGCTGGTTTCCTCCCCCCATACACCCGACCTCTTAATGTGGGGGGCTCCAGGGCCCTGTCCCCAGACCACTCCTCTCTGTGTCACTCCCCACGGGAGCTTGCGCACCCCCGTTCCCATTTCTGTGCATCACCCCCTCTCTGCCGAGCTCCACACCGCATCTGTACGGTGAGGCAGCTCCTGGCCCTCTGGCCGACACCTCGTCCATCCCTTCAGTACTCGTTCCTGAGCACCCAGCATGGCCCAAGTGCTGGCAACATGCCCTGGGAGACGCAGGGCCCTCCCCCTGCAGCCCCTCCCCTCAGCGAGCCGGTTGGCCCCACAGCCTGCCTCAGGGGATGGCAATAGCGCGCAGCCAGACTTCCCAGCAGGAAGCAGGAGACCACGGTTGTCTCTCAAAACT